TTAATGTGTTGTACTGTTAAAGAATCATTTGAAAACATTTGTGCAGTGTATACAGATACAGAAAAAAAGCTTCTGCATATTTTCTATGGTTTGAAAGGCTTTAAAATAGTGATTGTGACATATCTGACAACCTTGCTCTGGAAGAAGACACACTTTGAATGAAGAAGTTTTTGAACGTGTAGAGTGAGGAGGCCATTGTTAAATGTAAGCAAATAGCAGAACCACTGAACAAACAGAATCAACAAAGTTTGCAATAAGCAATTACAAGGAAAAGAAAAGAAGAGAGTAAAAGATAAAGCAAGCAAACAATATATGAAAGGCAAAGCAACAGTCAGTTATATGCCATGTGTGATATATGCTTAGGCGATCATGTATCTATCAATACATGACTCTTTTCCCACAGTAGGTTGCCATTTCTTTCTGCAGTAGACCAGTTGCCATCCAGGGCTATAGAACCTTGTCTGCCCTGCTATTTACCCATATAGTAAAAACTTCAAAAACTAAGAATTGGGGTTGGTACACAACAGCAAATTTGGACAAGCAAACAGAGCATTCTGCCTTCAAGACAAGACAGACTGGTACTGAATCAGACAAAACCAAGAACTTGTCTATTTTATTGGCTAGCATGCATTTGTGTGCTATTGCTTAGAAATTGAGGAGGGGAAAGTGTTTTGCAGTCATTTCCAATCTGATTCAAACTAACACAAAGAGACTATTGAATTAGATCCACATCAAAGCAGCAAAGATTTGGTGAAAAAACAAAAGTAATACTGAATTGTAATGTTCCAAAGAAGAAGTCCAAAACTACACAGACTAAGGACAGGGGATAGCATTAAAGAAAAGCCACTGTAATTAAATATAATGATATATAATGATAAAGAGGAAAGCATTTTATAAAGATAGAGATCTAATGAGAAACATGTTGATAATATGCTTTCAATGTAAAGTGTATATTGAATGTATATGACCATTATATAGATTTAAACAACTGCTCAAAAACAAATTTAAAAATACACAAAGATCAATAGAAAAATAATACAAGGGGTGATAACATTAAGAAATCAGAAGTTATCATGGCTGACGAAAGGTCAAGGTCTAGAGATATAGAGGTAGTTAGGTAAATATGCTTAAAATCTAATGTGTATAATGAATATATGTCAACTATGATAGACGGATATTAAAATATGGAATCCAAGGAAAGTGCTGGCAAAGATCATTGCAAAGAACAATGCTAAGAATAACTCACAAAGAGATGGAAAGAGGTCAACTTGAAGAGATGAAGATAAGAGATATAGAAATGATTAAAGGAAAAATGAAAATTGGAGCAACACATCAGAAGAGAGGATAACAGATGGAGCCAAAGGTAGAATGGTACAAAACTGTAAATGCAACATTGTGTTATTTATACTGCATTTCAGAGCTTAATCCCATAAAGGATTATTAATTTAACAAGTAGCAAATTTGCCATTGTTTAGTATATGAATTCTTAAAGGGTAATACTGTAGGATAAGGGTTAGCATTTAGAAACATTTGTGCATTGTGTAGAGATTCTGTGAAGGCTTGTAAATACCAGCTGTGGTTTTATGTTTTAAAAAGGGCAATTTTGACATATCCAACCAGCCACATTCTGGAAGATGACCCACTCTGAACAAAGAATTTCATGTCAAAGCACCAAAGATTTGGTGCTAAATCATCATGCATCATGTTCAACTATCTATGAACATCGCAAGTGAATTGGAAAAGCTGGTAATGAACCAATTTGGGTTCTGCATGAGCTTTCACTTGAGAAACAAACACTACATTTCACCACCTGCAGTTTTTTGTTTTTAACTAGGAATGTCAAACTTTCATTTTTGTATCACATTGTTACAGGTAATGAAAAATGGGTTTTGCAGGTCAAAAAAAAATTTTACAAGCAATACATTTAGGTATAAAAAAAAATCATTAACCTCAAACTGAGGTCAAACATTTTGGTACAAAAAAATACAAAAGAAAAAAATTTCTGATCCAAAAAACAAATTAATAATGCAAAAAAAAAAAATTCCAAAAAAAAAAAAAAATATTAAATTTTTGGCATTAAATGACCAAATGGGTTGACACACCATAAAAAAAAAAACAAAAAAAAACATTGTTAATTCTTCATTTATATCAGGTATTTGTAGATTTTAATTGGCACACAGAGTGAATAATGTTCTACTGTTTATGTAGCAACAGAAAGAAAATATCTAGGTTACGATGTACTGTTAAATTTAGCCAAAGGTACCATAAAAATGTAGGCCTACTGGGGAGGTTATAGTCACAGAAAATGCATGAATTTTAACCCCCTTCAAAAAAAGTTTACCTGTGTATAATGCACTGAAAATTCATGATTTTAAACATGTTCAAAAAACCACCCATGAATAGTGCAATCCCCTTTTTTCTGTATAAAAAAACTGATCATAAAAACTTGCACCATACTTAAGTACTTCAGTCATTAGAATATTTCATAAATGACAGAATATCCAGAAATAATGAAGTTGAGAATAATTTTCAAACTTTTGGGGGTCAAAAGATAAATAATCTATATTTCATTAAATGTGAAATTGAAAATTTGCCTTCCAGTTCGGCTGCAAATGTCAAAAATCAAGGTCATTACATTCTTGATAAATTATATTTAAATAAATTCAACTTAAAAACATTACTTTTTATATCCTTTCTACTAAAACAATTACTTTCCAAACACCGTATTATTCTCTGACCTACTCAGGGTATAAAATGACAGAGAAAAATATATTACTATGTCAAATTTTGTATTTGTGTTTGGGACCCACTTTTTATATGGTGAACTTGTCGTAATCAAATTGCAAAATGGATTCATACATTGGGTTCAATATGAAAACCAAAAATATTTCTTGACCTTAAATATTTTCAGATGAGTGGGAATACTCCCTAATTTGGCCTGGAGGTTATTGGAAGTAAAATTAAATTGTAGCCTTTACAATCTGCATTACAATGAAACAAATACATTCTTGGACATCAGGCAGTTATGTGCCATGTGTGATACACGCTTAGCCGATCATGTATCTTTCGATACATGACTGACAAAGCAGATTTTTTTTTCCCCCGCAGTAGGTTGCCATTTCTTTCTGCAGTAGATCAGTTGCCATCCAAGGCTATAGAACCTGGTCTGTCCTGCTATTTACCCATAGCTGGGGGGAGAAGAGGATTCATACTTTTTCCAAGGGTATTAGCATGTAAGTGAATGTAATGGATTCGATTGGAATTCAAACTCAGCTCTCTGATTCCTCAATCCGAGCCGCTATCTATTACCCTTTTGTGTCTCCTCTTGGACATCATTTGAGCCAAAAAACAGGACAGGATTGGAGGTCAGCAAAGATCATTTTTTTAAATAGTCGTTTTTAGCTAAATAAAAGAAATCCATGAATTGAATATTGCTGCCATGTCTGGTCTGGTGCTCTTGTTATATATCTTGAGATTCTCGACAAAATCCAAAGAAGGGTCTGTAATATTATTGGTCCCAACATGTCATCTTGAACAGTATTTACATTAGTCGGACTATTGTCCTCATCTTTGTCGCCATATTTGTCACAACGTTTCGGCCGTTGTACGCTCCGGCCTTCTTCAGGTGGTAGGAATTTCGAACTGAACCCTTTATTTCAATCACTGGGGTAGACTGTTCTAGTTCCACGTGCCATGTTTGATGGATGTCAGTTTTCAGTTATCTCCTGCTAATTTTCCCTCTGAAAGTTCTCCACTGCCTTAACCAGGAATTGAACTCACCTTCTTTGGGTCTGTCATTCTGATGTCATATTGACTTCAGTCACTTTCCCACTTTTCTGATGAGTTTTCCTTCTTGGTACTCCGATTGCATGAATTTAACCATACTACTAGTTTGGCAACTTTGTCTCACTATTTTACTGTTGAACTACGTAGATGTAACCATAAATTCTATTCTAATAGTTTCTTTTCTCACCTGTGATATGCTTTTCCAGTTTCTAGCTTCCCTGCCACCTACAATCATCAAAGAATTTTAATGAAACATTAATTTGCATTTTCTATCTTTCTGAATCCTGTTCTTTTGTCCTTTCTCATCACTAAAGTCTTTTCATTCACTTTCCATCCTAGTAACCCTTTGCATCTTAGTGGCATTATCACCTTGCTTGAAGTAAAATGATTAAAAAAATAAAAATAAAAGGCTTAAAGGACTACTCATACCTCTTGGATAAATAGAAGAGTGTGCTTATTAAAAGTTTGAAAATTTAAAGAATCCCCAACAATTTGTTTGGCTCCATTTATTAAGATTCTATGATGGCAAACAATGTACGTCATGAAAAATGAATGTTTACTGTATTACTATTAACTTAGAAATCTCAACACTTCCTGAACTTGTTTATTAAATTTTTGGAATTTGAAAGCCACCACCACCACTTATGTTTGACACCTCCACCCAAATTATTCAAGAAGCAAGAGTAATAAAAAAAAAAAAAAAAATTCTGTTTTTTCAGCATCCATGACAAATTCTAAATATTTTCCTATTTTTCCCTAAGTAAGTCTACGTATCATAGTGTAGTGTGGTTGTGTCCATATACACTGTTGTGTTTCTCTCGTTCACTCACAGAGAAAGCACAGTGATAATCCGAATAGGTTAATTGTCTCTCCAATAGTGTATAACGCAACAAGACAAAGGTAAAATGATAAATAAACCACTCCAACTGCATTGCTTATATAGCAGTGTGATTAGAACATTCTAGAGTGTTCTACAACTTTCCATTTGATTCTGTTGGACAGATTCGCTCGCCAGCAATATGCATTGAACAGATCTAGACGCTCGCAATCTCCACAACATACACCACAGGGGGAGTCTACAGGACTAACATACATACAGATATGTCAGTTATCCCTGCTCATCACAATAAACAAAGAATATTACATATTTTAAAATTTTAAAGACATAAAAGAGGTTTAAAGATACTGATGAACCTAAAAGTTACCAGATTAGGATCATGTCACATTGAAACACCAGTTCCCATATGATCACCAAAGTTAAGCAACATTGAGTCTGGTCAGTACCTTGATGGGTGATTGCTTGGGAATACCAGATACTGTAAGCTTGGATGTGCCGGTGAAGTAATGGATAATGGCTCAGAATTGTTAATTGGAGAGATGAATTCCAGTTTCAGTTGGATTCGTTATATTCACTTACAGGCAAATATACTTGGGAAATGTATAAATACATGTCTTCTTCCCCCAACTATGGGTTAATTAGTAATATTTGTATCAGTAAATCATTATTATCACAAAAAACAATTCTTACAATCTAAAGATATTTTCTGGCTTTAAATAACCATCAAAAGGTTGAGAAGCCATAAAAATCAAATCAATCAAAACTAAAAGTTAACATTCTACATACAGCAAGATTTCGATATCTGAAACAAACATTTGTAAAGCCAAATCTATTTTTGTTAAGCAAGACAAACTACAAAAAACTGAACAAAAGGTTTAATTCAAGCTCTTGAAAATTTTCCGTATTCTAAATTGTTTCCCCATTGCTAAGTTGAATTGATAGTTCAAGATTTCATCGGTTGTGTTCATAAAACAAAAAAAAGAAACAGAAAAATGCAATTTACACTATTTACATTGTTCAGGCTGTTGCTGTATTCATGAGGGTTCAGCTGTTGTACACTCTGGCCTTCTTCAGGTGATATACATTGGAATTTCAAACCCAACCCTTTATTTTGTCCACTAGGATAGATTGTTCTAGTTCCACATGCCATGCCTTTTCTGGATATCTCAGTTATTTCCCTTTAGTAACTCAACTCTCTAAGCTTTTGTTCACCTCTGCTGGGGCCAGGTATTGAACTCGCAATTCTTTGCGTCAAGTTGCTGGATTACTTTATCCACTGGGCCATGTAAATCGGGACTCAGGGTTAGACATTGAAGATCTGGGAACAGCAATGTAGGACCAAACAGTGTGGAAAAGGATTGTCGTCGGAGTTCCGACCAACCATAAGGAGGTCTGAGGATGATTATGAAATAGTGTAAATAGTTAAAATACCATAGCTTGGATATAAAGACAGAAAAAAATGCAAATATTTCATGTCATCAGTAGCTCCAAAAATTTTAAATGGGGCTACTGTTTTCCAGAACTGTAGCAGACGACCCAACACATGAACTACAGCTTCGGATATCAAAACAAAGCATCTACAGAAATTAAAGTACAGGGCATGATGGGTAAAATGTTGCCATTTTATATATTTTTAATTTCATGCATGCATATTGTTTTTGATTTTCTCAACTGCACAGTATAATAGGATCAGTTAGGCACTGTCTGTGAGAACAAGAGCACCATAACATAAAAAGAGCACCATGATGTAATTCACTCCGCTAAAAATTTAGAAATGGCATGCTGTACTGCTTGGTATTTATGGCAGAAGCTCCAGTACGAACATTTCAGAATGTTTGGGTGTGGCAATCTGAGGACAATTTAATGGTGATTACAAAGGTACATCAGCTTGGAAAACTCACACTGATCAGTTGGATAAGATAAAGAACTCCTGATTTTGTAGGTGAGGGCCTCAAACTCAACACAGAGGCCTACATCAAATGCCTTGAGGAGGTAGTGGATCAAGAAGGTGGCTGCTGGAAGACCCTACATCTGGCAACAGGACTCTGCACCATGCCACATAAGCAGGAAAACACAGTCATGGTTGTCAGACAATTTATTACCCCTTACATCTGGCTACCTAACTCCCCAGACTGCAAACCCCCTTGATTATTATGTGTGGGGCACAGTTGAATGCGAGACCAAAAAAACTTCTTGTAACACTAAAGATAGACTGGCATCAAGATCTCATCAATTTACGATTGAGCTGGCGAGATCTAATTGTAAATTCTATGCTAACAGCCAACTTTAATCTTCAAAAATTTAAAGGCAAGGTCAATTGCTATCTACTGTCCTCCTGATGACTAATGAGCAGCAACAAAAAGAGAAATGTCACTGTTTCTATTTCTTCCACACTCAGTAACCCCTTGTGTTTTAGTGGCTTTACTGTCTTACATGGGGTGAAATTGATTAAAATAAATAAATAAAATAAAAAATATACATAAGAAAGACACAAGGATGGAAATGTTGCAAGTATAAGCAACCAAGATGAGCATGCTGGTCTGAATAACAAAGTATTTAATAAGACAGATATCTGAAGAAGGCTGGACGTTACAGCAGCTGAAATGTTGTGAGTATAACACCTAAGATGAGCAAATAGCAAAGCAATATCATAAGACAGAAACCTGAAGATGTTTGGTTTGGTTTATTTTGTTTTACGACATATCAACCTCAATGGGTTATTTAATGCCGACAACATTTTTAGGATAGATTTGTATCAAAAGAATATGTATTCTTTGGTTTAGATTGGTTTGGTTTATTTTGATTTACGGCATATCAACCTCAATGGGTTATTTAATGCAGACAACATTTTTAGGATAGATTCGTATAAATAGAATATGTATTCTTTGGTTTAGATTGGTTTGGTTTATTTTGTTCTACGGCATATCAATCTCAATAGGTTATTTAAGCCAACGTTTTTTATTGCCGGTAATATTTTGTTTTGTCAAAAATCTGTTTCTGGTAATATTTTTCCTTCAAAATTGTAGTGCTGGTTATATTTTTTTTTCAAAAAAAGTATTGCTGGTAATAGTTAACTATTTGCCCATAGCTGGGACCCTAACAGGTGCTACCACCCTAAACCTGAAGATGGCCAGAGAATAAAATAGCCAAAATGCAATGAGTAAAATACCCAAGATGAGTATGATGTTCTGAATATAATAAAACAGATACAGGTTGGAGGGTAGAAATACCTGAAGATGATCAGAAGGTAAAGCATTTGAAGTTCTGTGAGTATAAAACTCAAGATGAGTATGTTAGTCTGAATATAAAGCAAGCAGACAGAGGCAGGAAGGGTACAGAAGCTGAAATCTTGTGAGTATATAACCAAAGATGAGCAGGCTATCTACATAATAATGATAATTCTACATTCTAAAAATTCTAACAAAGCTAATAAATCCATTTTACAGAGTTCCAAGAATTGAGCTGGAAACACACAAGTTCTAATTGTCTAAAATGTTACTTTTGTATTATTTTAATATCATTTTTTTTTAAATATTACACAATGGCAAATTTTAAAATTAATTCTTTTCTCATGAACAGCAAAGATGAAATAACACTAATGTTGGCTATAATAAAAAGAGCGCATTTGACATCGAGATAGAAAAAGAAATCACTAGCCATGGCTTAGGACTAATGTCTCCAAGCCTAATGTTTTCATGACTTGAGCTGTTTTTCTGTATCCTTGTGTCCATGGTAACAGTTTCTAAGGGTTTTAACTTGTCTCTTGAATCTCATCAGAAATTCTGTTCCTCAAGTTATCAATTTCCAGTGTTCATGTTCTTGTAGTGACATCTTTGTTTGCTTTTTAACATTGCCCGAGTGTAATTTATATTATATATATATATATATATATATATATATATATATATATATTAATTTGAACATTATTTTAGTGGATATTCATACTATTTTACAATAAATGGAGCATCTACTCAAATACACGCATCCACCAAAATTAACATTTAAAGTAATAAAAAAATGTTAGATTAAAAAATAAAACCCATTCTTTATATATATATATATATATATATATATATATATATATATATATATATATATATATATAATATGCATATTTTGTTAAAGATGACAGACAAGGTACTACGATTAAGCTTTTCATTTAATTTTTCTTGCATTTGAACAAGTGTTTTCTTTTTTGGTAAAAACTGTCCATATGTTCTATAATTCCGAGTGCTTTTGGCTTTACTTTTAGCCATTATCAAGGATGATTTTATTTTTTCAGTTTAATTGAGTGTGTGTGTTGTGTGTATGTTTTTAGTGTTATAGAGATGTTTTATTTTCCAAATGCAGTTAGCATTCTGGTCGTGTTCGTAGTTAATATTATTAAGTGTTGGCTTTTTCTTTTTTATTATTAAGGCTTCCATTATTTTTAATCTTTTTTTACAAGTGTACAAGGTTCTTATTTTTGAATTTTCTACTAGTATGTTTCAGATGGAGTCTGGTAAGTTTGTGTGTGTGTTTAAATGGATTCTAATAGAGCTGTGGTCAGATAGGTGCAACGTAAGGCATCTGGATAGACATGTAGTCATGTGACTGATGTAATTATTTATGAATTCAGTTTGATCAGGAACACAGTTCTTTAGGGGGCATTTGAACTCATTGATAATGTTCATTCATTGTAATTTTGATTTTGCTGGTGTGTTGCTATTTTTGAGGATAAGGTTAGCTGTTTTAAATTTTTTGTAGTAGATAATTTGATTTTTTTTTTATTCAGATCAGTTGGGGTAGTGTATTTCTTTAGAATATTTCTAAATAAAGATTCATCTTGTTTATAGTCAATGTACATTTAGTTTTTGTAGAAAATATTTATGTAATTTTTGACTGTATGTTCACTATCATTGTTATTTACTTTGGGAAGAAATAGTCTAATTTGGTCATCTATAAAGTGGTTAGGGACGCCATTGTTAATTACTGTCTGTTTTACATTATTGAGTTCTTTACTGAAGAGTAGTCGAGAGGATGAATTCTGGTGTGATCTTTTTAGAAAGATCTGTGCAAGATCCATATTGTAATGAATTATGCAATTATTGCATTTTTAGGACTTTATTTTCTTTTTACATCCAACATTTGTTTTGATAACCTTTTCAATATATTCTCTTGTTTCTGCAGAGTCAGGTTTGATTGGTTCTAGTGTGTACAAAAATTGTCAGTCCACTTTGTCATTGTTTAGTTTCAAAAACAGAATATCTTATAGTTTGAAAACCAAGCAAACTTTGATGTATTTGTTTTTCCATCATGGCGTTTGGTGCTCAGAGATTTACAAACTTAAATCATATTTTGACGAGCTGATGACCTTGATTTTGCAGGCCACTAACAACAGATGTGTGGTGCTCATGCTTATTTACTTTCTTTTAATCAATTCATTCCAAGCAAGGCGATAATGCCACTAAGACACAAGGGGTTACTAGAATTGAAAGAGAATGAG